GTGTCATTATTTCCGGGTATAGGATGTATCCTTTTGCATTGTATGTGCACCGTTTCACAAAAGCATAGGTCTCCGAAATAATCGTCGATACGTGCTTTAAAACACTTCACAAAATCGGCCTCTAGTACTCCTTCTGGTAGTGTATTCCGTAAGTACGATTCTTCGTTCTATACAAAGTTGATGTGATATCTTGTTCATGCAGGGGACCCTGAGTTTGTAACGGTGTCCTCGGGTGTTACAGGGTTGTCGTAGGTAAAAAGTTTAACCGCAGTATGGGAAGTGATTCAAGTGTAATACTCGATGGGTCATAATAAGGTCAATTCTTACTCGGCGGTAGGATAGTGTGTAGAGTCTGAGCTTTTCACGACGTTTTTCATACGGAAGCTTTTATAGACTCGGTATCATTCTAGCTGCGATATGCTGTATTTTCTCCAGATTTTCAGTTTCCCACTGGGTTATTGGATATATATATTTGCAAAAGTCTGCTAACAGACATAATGCCATCAGAAACCATGGGATTCAAACGAAGGTACAGAAACAGTAAAATAAAACACAACACAACAATGTCCATGGTTTCCTCAGAGGGCGAGATACTACCCGGTTGCCCAAGCCGAAGTAGGGTGTTCACTTAGCGGACACCACCCCGAGCCTTTGGCTGAATAGCCTGCCCGCAAGGCAACGGAGCGAATTCAGGGAATCGCGCCCATTGGGAGCCGGTGACTGATTGCTCAGTTCATCCGCCTTTCGTTTGTTCCTTTGTCAAACAGGGGCCCAATGCTCCCCAGAAGTACAGCATAAGGTTGCTGGGATACAATGCTTCGCCAGGATAAAGCAAGGGGCAGTGACTTTATTTAGTGGCGAGTCACGTCCGCCACGTCACAGTGTTGTTAAACGGACATATGTGACTTTTTATAGGGAGAACGCTTGCCAGGCGAAAACCCACCACGTCCTGGAACACTGCTGCCGAACCATTTGCTGGAAGGAGAAAATCCCGAACCACGCAGCTGGCACCACGAGGAGGTTATTGGATGGTAAGCTGAGGCACCATATTTAAGGATTGGTCTAATGAACGAGGTGAATAGACGATGGACGGTTTCTTCGGACCATGTGAAGAAACTGCGTCGTAGTGCCCAGAGCATACGAAGTCCCGCACGGTACAATTTCTCTGTATTTTCTAGTGATCTCATATCATGTCGCGAGAGGACTCCTATGTCTCTGACAGATGTGTTAGGGTGGAGCAGTTGGCCGTCCAAGGTGTATGATCGAGTGGCAGGACGACTGGTGATACTGATGAACTCCGACTTGCTTGCGTTAACAGGGAGTTGCATTTCAGTGAACCAAGTTGACAGTCGCTCTAAGTCATGCTGGAGGCGAGCGCAGTCGTCCTGGTTCTCAATGATCCTCCAGATTTTCAAATCATCTGCAAACGGAGCACCTGGTGACTGGAGCTGCTGCAGTAGATCCTTGATATGAATAAGAAATAATACTGGCCCAACTACATCTCCTTCAGGCACGCCACTGGTCGATGGGAACCGGTCTATCAGGTAGTCATTGACTTGTACTCTAAACTTTCGTCCCACAATATACTCGTGTAACCACTGTAGTAGCGTGCCACCGATTCTGTGGGTCCTCAGTTTACCAAGGAGTACCTCATGGTTCACTCTGTCAAACGCCTTACTAAAGTCGATGTACACCACGTCAACATCCTTTTGTTCATTGAAAGGTCGTACCTACTGGTGGTTTGCGTACATCAAATTGGTGATGCAGGATCGTCCTTTCGTCAAGCCGTCTTGCGCTGGCGTCAATATGTCCATCGATTCAAAGAACGACAACAGACACTTTTTCACAACCTTCTCGAGAACTTTGGATAATATCGAAGTCAAACCGATCGGTCTATGGTTCTCTATTTTACTCGGATCACCACCATTTGGAAGCGGTCTCGCTATCGAGCATTTCCAGTCGTTGGGGACAGATCCTTCAGAGTGTGATTTATTGAATAGGTTGGTTACGGCTGGTGAGATATTCGATAGGGAATTCAGTCTTAGTAAGTGAAGTCCTTCTAGTCCGGGGGGCTTTACACCATCGAGATTGACGAGTAGCTGATACACTTCGACTGCACCACATTGTAGGCTGTCGAGCAAGACTGGCGCAACCTGTGCCGGTACTGAAACAGTCGCCCGTTTACTGGAAGATATGGTGAAGAAGTCCGTAGCTAAGGCGTCCGCGCGCTCCGCGCTTGAAATGAGCGTCTGTCCGTCCAAGCTCTCTAAGACCGGTAGGTCGCCCCTAGATTTCATTTGACGTTTCAAGTAGGCAAATATTCTTTTGGGGGCAGTTGTGGCCGAGGATGCTAGCTCCTCTTTGAACTGCCAGCGTCTTTTTATCTTTGCGGCGTTACATAAGTTACGCTGTTTCTTGTACACCGTGTAATCTTCATCACAACCCGAGCTGACGTATCTATCCCAAAGTTTGCGACGCCGTCACACTAACTGTCTATATTCCATAACAAACCAATGCTGTTCGACAGGTCCGATTTTTGGATACTTCAGGGGAACGAACCGAGTACACAGCGAGTTAAGCTTCCCCTTCATTAATGACCAACAGACTTCAAGCGACGCATCCTGTAGTAGTGTCCAATCAGTCTGATTTGGACGAGCCCGTCTTCCTTTAGTTGTATGTCGGCTTCCGTTGGTTGTAATACGGTAACGACAGTTCTGTGCTTGCCACAATGGTGCGGTGGTCACAGTTTGTCAGAGGTTCGAGGACTCTGATCTCGTTCAGCTTCTGCTCGCAGCTGGTCCAGACAACATGCCGAGTGCGGAGTTACGCGCGTCGTTTAGATGACATGTTGCGTTGCCCCGATTTCAATAGTCATTTTAGCGAATTGAGCCTCAACATTGCTATGACCAGGAAGAAGTCGTACGTCTGGCCAAAATATCTTTGGTAAATTTAGATCCTTCATCAGTAAGAACTGAGGGCGGCTCTTGTGCTTCTGTACGTATGGTAGCCAATCGCAACAACGGCGTAATGGGCTACGATAGATAACGCCCACTATTAGTTCTGCGCGTCTGCGGCGAATTGTGCACCACAATTGCTCGCATAAATTATCCTCGCTCTGATAGGTGCTGGTAAGTTTGCCAGATGGTAACGATTTTATGTACAACAGGACACCACCGTGAGCCTTTGATTTTCGGTCGCATCGGAAACAATAGTATCCTGACAACACGACTTCTTGGGGTATGACGTCGGAGTTCAGCCAAGTCTCTGCAAGTCCTAAAACGTCCGGTCGCTCCGAGACAGCGAAGCGGCACAGTTCATCACATTTGTTCATTAGTCTGCACACGTTGGCGAATGTCACGGAGGTCCTGGGAGGTACCACGGGACGTGCCTGGATGTTGAGCAACCGGTTGATACGGGTTCGTACACTGTTCCTGATCACCCGAATATTTACTATTTGTAAGTCTGTCTCACATTTCTTTGTACGGCGTTTGAGCTCAATGACCGCAGTCTTCAAACGGTCCCTCTCTTCGGGTTCCAAGTCTCGGCGGATGTGAACCTTTATGCCTTTCAGCTTTGGCAGACGAGACAGTATGAGCTGCGGCATATTGTGATTTGCAGAGGTGATTATCAGCGGTCGACATAATTGGTTCGTTTTCTGGTCAAGTCGGATTACTTGTTTAATCGTCACTTTCTTTGCCCACGTCCAAGAGTCTACCGATGAACCCCTGGAGGAACTCAACATCGTGATCTTAACGTATCTGAGGGTTTTCATCTTTTGACTCTGGTACGTGGAAGACCATGAGATTATGACGCCTCAGCGAAATCGGTGATGAACTTGTGGGAGCAGGACTAGAGGCGCTTATTTGTTTGGGTTGCTGTTTATCATCACGGGACGCCTGAACTTGATTACGTGGCCCCTTGCGCTTCTGAGTGGTCCATGGATCCTCGGTGTTCAGAAGTGCACAGACAGGCTCTGAGAAATTCACGGACCGATCACTAAAGCGGCATTCCCTAGGTTCCGAGTCTGAGGAAACATTGGGGGAACATTGAACCTGAGGCTCGGCCGGGGTCAAAGACGCTGGTGGTGGTGTAGATCGTGGAGTGACAAGAGGAGACGAGGCGACAGAGGTACTTTCACGAGGGCGTTCGATCCCACATGGTGAACCATTTGTTTCTGTCTGGAATTGAGGTTTTCCCGTACTTGTTGGCGGTCGCTGTGTATTTTGAGGTCTTGCACCGCGACATTGATCACATATAACTTGAAAAAACCGATGTCGGATGTCGAGAGATTTTCGAAACCCGTCAACGGATAAGCCAATGCACGAAATATGGAACAAAACATCGCAGCCGAAGTACCGAGGTGCATGAGCCTTAGTTCCCACAAGTTTCGAACACGAACCACAAGTAGCTTGAGACGGCATCACAAGGTAGAGCAAATCCAAGCTGGCGAACGGCGATGGCAGTAGGGTAAGTCAATGAAATCACCGGAATTAGCCAAAGCATAGACACCAAATTTGCATCGATTGGAAAATACGTCAAAAGAATATTGGTGCACATCTCACACAGAAAAACTGATACCACCGTAATATATATATATATATATATATATATATATATATATATATATATATGAACTCCATTTCGGTTGCTTTATTTTTATTTCTTTACCATTTACCTGTTCTCGATCTCACTGCTCTTGCTCTGTTGCTCCGTTTCCTTAATGTTGGCTGTCTTTTTACGTGAGACATGACTGCGCGGTCTACCGGACTTCATAACTAAAGCCGCATCTCGGTTACACGCGATAATGTCCTTCTTTGCCACCAATCACTTCAGCCTCAGTTATTTGATTGAGCTTTTCTACTTATGGCAAATGGATGCATTTTCCTTTCACTGATTATGCCTCAAAATCTGTCTATAGCGGTCGATCTGCCCCTATATATATTCCTCGTTGTTGACTCCTTGTGAATTCAACACTGCTTTTTGTCCCTTCCCTTTTCCAGTGGAAGCGCGGATCCACGAAAGGTCTGTGCTTGGGATTATTCTCCTTGGCTATTTTTGGAAATGTTTTATACGGATTGCAGATTTTTCTCGCATCACTTGAAACATCGTATCTGCTTCGATCACTACCATGGCTCATTGGTAGTCTGGGTACAGTATTTCTCGATCTCATTGTGAGTTTGTTTACAACTTATTCAAACGCTTTTACTCATGTAACTTCAAAGTACTTGTCTTATCCTCAGTTTTCGCTTGTGACTCCTTCATTGCTTGGTTGACAACTTGTTAGCCCATGCCAAGGGGAGCATTTTGTATCAAGCGAGTCTGCTGAAGTCACCCGTCGCTCCTGCTCTTTCCATTTCATTAGCTCTTTGAAGCCCATCAGGATTTTTTGTCTGCTAACAGACTCCGTTTTAGCTCTCTTCGGTCGCCCATTTGGTGTTGTTAGGTCAATATCTTCGTAGGCATGCGGCCAATCGCGAAAGGACAAATTGTGCATATTTATTTTCTATGCCTCGGAGGGTCGTTGGTTCCGCTTTCTGCGGCGCAACACAGTTCAGCACCCGGTGTATCCAATATGCGTGCAAGTGCAGGTTGTTGATCCATCAGCCTTGGGCTACCAACAAGTACTACACCTAAATTTCCAATGCTTGCTTGGGGCAACTAAACTTTACATTTCTTCCCATTCATCCATTTCCCCTGTAATATGATCCTCTCTCCTTATAATTTTATGGTAGCTATGTACCAACCGAAATTTTTTGTATTCTGATGCAGAAGTTGACATTAATACCTTGGAATGTCTCATTTTACCGCGTCCCAGCTACCTTACACGTGTATGGTTTAGAGAGTGCTTTTGCCGCCCGGTGGACATGGTGACGACACTTGTGTATGGAGACGTGGTGGGTGTTATTAACTTTTTCCACTCTAATTCTAAGGATGCTTCTTCTAGTCACGTACTCGCTTTACTCATTTGAATTTCAGTGTATGTTGCCTTCATTATCCTTGACAGATCTCATTTACATCTACACTGCGATGCACCATCTCACGTAATCTCCGTGGAAGTATGTCAGTGTCATTCTGCTTGTTAGGGCTGTGAAGTAGCGACTTTCTGAGGCTATCACTTGTCTACATTGGCAAGGCCACTATTTGCATCTTCATTTACATTCCTCGACCAAGAAAACTCGATCTTTCCATGAGTACCGGCTACACATCTTATCCGCACGCTTACTTTCCAAGCAAGTGTTGCTTGTGCCACCAACGTGAAGCTCGACTTTCGGGTATTGGTTGGTCACTGCTGCTCATTGGTAGCTACCTTTAAAGTTATGTGCATTAATGTGCCTCCGCTGCGAATGCGCTGTGCTCTTTACCCTTCGAATCATCCATCACAGACAAAAAGTGTTTTGGTCGCGTTATTCTAAGATTGCCAACACTAGTTGGTATGCACCTCTCTGGAGCACCCTTCCCTCCAACGACTGAATTGGTTCGGCCTACTAGTTCAGCTACAGACTTTCCAGTTGCACTGGCCGTTCGTGCCAGGAGGCGTGCCACATTGTCTATACAATTTTCATTTTAAATTAGACGTTTTTGCAAACCACTTTTGGACGTTTTGCGAAACACTTCAGACGTTTTGAAAACCAACATGGACGTTAGGCAAAACGCATTGGATGTTTTGCTAACCGAGGTGGACACATTGCATTCTAAGCAGAAAATTAGCAATTTACCAGCAAGAAATGAGTAAGGCAGCTACCTGATGTTCAGACCACACTGTAGTCATGCTAATGCAACCGAATTGTGTAAGCAGTGGGTGCCACTGCAAACCCTTCTCTTTATCCTGAACCTTGATCAACTTGATCAAAGGCTGTGACTGAGTATTCTTCTCTCTATTACTTAAGAGTAGAAGGTTTTTGGCAAGTGTTTTGTGTTCGTCGTAATCCTCTCTCTCGTCATCGGCATTCGCGTAGTTGATGTGCCGGTGCCTTCACGCATTAACCTGTCATCAACAGCAGTACATCAGCTATTTGAACTGATGCTTCGCTGCCATACAACCACGATGACCTGTGGAATAAAGAATAATAAGAGGGGGAGAAGGGGGACTTATCTTAAAACCCTAATGCCCTAAGGAAACATTCACAGTCAAGACGTCTACACTTTGTGAACAACATGCCATCGCAAACAGCTGGCTATCGTGCAAATATAAGGCGACATCAGCGAGACAGCTTCCTGGCGGCTTTTACTGCCCCGCGTCATAATCAGCCATTACCCCGCAGATAACTCAACACCAAACAACTTTAAACAGATAGTCCGACTAGGAGACGGCAACAGACGTGCCACTGATGCCGACTGCGAGTCATCTGTAAAATCACGAGCCATGCACAAGGCGGGCCACGTGGATCCCAGCCTGGAAGGCGAGACGGACCGACCTCACCACGTTTGTTCGTTAGTGACTTCATTTCTCGCTGCCAAGTCAACTTTTGTCTACTTCGAGCCTTGCGCTACCCTATATCTGGCAGACTAAACAAGGGCTTCCTGGGTAAACGGTGACCAGGCATACGTAGTACGTGCCCGAGCCAACGCTACTTATTCACTGCTATCTGATGTTCTAAGGAACTAGCTTGGTTATCACTGCCTAGTAGTCCCCTACGCACATCATCGTTGCGGACACGCTGTTGCCACCCGATACCAGTAATACTCCGCAGACAACGATGATCAAAGATTTGAAGGCGTCTCAGAGCTTCATATCGAAGTGGCCAAGTTTCTCTACCATAGAGCAGGACAGTCCTCACTGTTGTCTTTTAAACGGAGGGCAACCTCTTTTTATCGCCAACTATTCAGCAGGTTCAAGATGGCAGTTCTGGGTTTTACAGTGCGTGAACTGACTTCAGTTCCTATGCCGCCATCGGTGCTGACGCAGTTGCCAAGGTAAGTGAATCGATCAACCACTTTGAGTTTCTTGATTTCAACGGGTCATCAAATGGTTGGTGATCCTGCAGCAACACTTTGCACTCTAAAGGTGCGAAGCGAATACCAAATAATGGGACCACTCTACACCATTTCACCTCACCTACTTGTGAATATACCAATTTAATATGTGCCAACCAACTCTGGATAGATTAGCACTGGCTGTCAATCGTTTCGGTTCATGGTTTTCACCCTTAAATACAGGGCTTTCCTCTGGGATTGACAGAGATTACTTTCTGAGTCACTCATTCTTGAGGATTAATTAGTAGTTCAAATATCTAACTACCTGCACGCCCATTTAGTCGGATGATACTACGTACCATATGACAAAAGCTCCTGGTGCTTTTGCACAAATTCACCACTTATGGCGTTGGAGCGACATCACTCGCCTTGAATGGTACAGTCTACAATACGGTCATCCGTTCAACCCTGCTGTACGATCGTGAAACCCCACCCATCAAGTCGCCCACATAAACAAACTAGTTACAATTAATTATCTGATTCTTTCCCATTTATGCTCATGTCATGACCTCGTTAGGAATGAGCGTGTTCAACGCCTTGATTTTTCGCTAGAAGAGCAAGTGAACCTTTCAGCACCGTTATTTCACGCCTCAGACTCAAAAGACTGGGACATATGCTACGAATGTCCGTAAACCGCATCCTTCAACATGCTTTGTTTGCACTACTGAAGTGTAGATAGAAGAAGAGCAGAAGAGGCCAGTCGATGGCTTGATCAGGAAGAATAAGGACTTTTATTTCGGCATTGGCCTCGGATGGTCTCACAATTCCTTAGTTTTGGTACGAAGACGATGAATACGTCTGGCTAGATTCTGTTGTTGACATGACCAGGAGTCCGCATCGCTGGTGTCTGTGTCGTAAGTTTTATTGTCGCTCCTCCTCCTGCTTTGGTTCTTCCTCTGTCCACAATCTCATTCCAAACGCAAAGCTCACATCGAAACATAACATCTTTTAGTACTTTTTTGTTTTTATTTTTTACTTTTTCACCCATTATTTTTACTCCTCTCTGGTTTGTTGTTGTTAAGGAACAATAGCTGAGGTGTTTCGCACCCCTAGCTAGCATGTCAAATGGTGATGCTACTTATGGTGTGAGCAGGTTTTTGTGTGTGATAGGCTCTTTCGTCTCGAGAACCCTACTGTGGCAGAGATAGACATTACCTTTCCAGAAAACATTTCCTGGGACTGACTAATTTTCTGATCGAACAGGTTCGTTACCTTTTCCTCTCTCCACGCTTACAGTTACTGGGGTCAACCTTCCGCTGTTCCCCGATAGACGATACGGTTTCTGTGCATTTGCTATCTCTTTCACTATATCAACTGATATTTGGGCGTCATTCCGATGCGAATCAATTTGACTCCCGTTACCATGCCCAACAGCCATAAGCGACAGCGAGAAACAGCAATCCCAAACAAATTTTTAATCTATGGAACCCTGGAAACCGGCACTTTATTCGTGGAATATATACCGAGGGTTTGATAAGAGTATTTCCATTCTGCTCAGTCGCTCGTAGATCAGCCGCGCATGTCAGGGTGAGATTGGAGCGCACTAATTTGCCGACCCACCAATGGCATGTAAGTCCACTGTATTTACTCACCCACGCATGTCTGGGGGTGTGAATACGACGTGAGGACGCATAGCGGTGCATGTGTCCTTGAAATATGTTAATTACCCTCGGCGATTTTGACACCGCTCAGTTCAAATTGGGTCGCTGCCGACGTTTTTGGCTGGTGGTTTGCAACATCTCGACAGCAGTGCATAATGCATTGGCTACCGTGTTCAAATGTTGGTGGCGCTTCGACAGTTGCTTAATGTTATCTCAGCAAATGATAAAACGGTTAGTGACAACGCTGTTGTAGACAGAATGTTACCTTCACATAAACCACCTTAGCAAAATAAGAATTCGTAACAATTAGACGGTGAAAATATGAGATGCTACTTCTGCATAAATGAGTCCGGAAAAGCTGTCGTTGACAGACTACTCCCGTCACAGTCTTGATAGCAATTGCAGGAACCAAGTGGGGTGCACGCTGTCTAATTTGTTTAACAGTGACCGTGACGGTGTAACATAAAAGGCTGACAGTGTCGCGCAGTCTCTCAGGAAAACGTAGGTGTATATCAATCGAAATGATTGTTACATGCTGCCGTGTATGCCAATTAAGAGACTACTCGCTGCACGTGTTTGTGGAGAAGGACTGCCGATGAAATCGCATTGTATGCGTCATTGCACAAAAACGATCGAGGAGCTGTGTCTAAGCTAAGCCCAAGAAGATGCCATCAATTGCACATAATCGCACCCTGTCCGTGTATTCCAGAAGCAGCTTGGGACAAATTTGTGGGCACGTTCACATCCCTAGTCGCGAAGGCATCAGAACCGAAAGCTTTTCATCCTCCCCTCAAAACGAAATCTTTCCATAGAAGCCGAACACGAAAATATATGGCCTTGAGGGACCGGACTTGGCATGGTTATAGAAACAATCGCAGTTCAGAAAATTGGACGGTGTACGCAACTCAGGCGAACGACTCTGTGCACTTGGTGCGTGAGGACAAGTTCACAAACTAGCAGTTTGATCCGGTGTAACATTCACTGCGGAAACGGTACTGAAAATGCCACTATCCTTGCGTACACACAGATCTCTTGGAGTGGACAATATCCACTCCAAAAGCACTAAAGGTAACAATCACGCACCTAGCCGGATTATTTCAGCCATCTCTGGACTGCAACATAGCTCCGTCAAAGTGGAAACTAGGTTTCATCAATCCTATTCACAAGGGAGCAAGTCGGTACGAGCCTGTCAATAACCGCCCGGTAATCTTCTCCCGGTGTTCGCCAACGTTATGGAAGAAATTCTGGCCGACGCATTGACGGGCTATGTGGAATGCCATGGTATCTTTATCTACGATCTAGCCAGTGTAATCACCCAACC